AGTCAATTAACTTATTCGCATTCAAGATGCAAGGCATTGCATTGCTCGCACTGTTTGTGGCAACTGCCTTGGCATTTGGACCCGGGGGACCACAGGCATATCGACAAGCAAAAATCACAGATGTGGAGCCCATCCACCAGTTCATCAGTTGGGATACAGGCAATGGACAAATAGGAAACTTTACTCTGAATATCACCATAACGGCGACCTTGGCGAAAGTGGTTATGGTTCCCGAATTTATTGACAGTTTGATGAAAACAGTTAAGAATCGTGCAGCTGTTGGCAAGTGGGCGGATATTCCAGCAGTTACTGGTAGAGAGGTACCTTCAACTCCAAAGAGTAATACAACCATAGCACCAAAGCATAAATGGATGCATGGAGCAAAGAAAAATATGGCAGACGCAAAGGCACAGGAAAAGTTCACAACAGATAATCCTGCAGAGCTTACAACCTCAACAGCTGCACACACTAGAAATAGCCATGACCAATCCTCTAGTGAAATACCCACAACGGAGCTGAGTGAGGAAACTTCTAAAATTGTGGACTTCACGGGCCATTCTGCAATCATCGAGTCTACAACTATGGCACTGTTGGTACATAGGACAGCACAATTGGAAGAGGAAAATAATGAATCCAAGACAAATCCCCAACAAGGAGTCGATAATGACATTATATTGGACTTAATGGCAGACAATGAAAAATTGGTATAACTTCGAGCCTATTGTTGGCCTCTGCTAAGCTCACGAGTTTTTTAAACTTTATTTTAAATTTGAAAAATATTCTTATGTTTTAAAATCAATTGTTTGCCTTTAGGGGATACACGAAAAATTAAACTAGAACAACTAAAACATCCTCGAATCACACACAATGTTATTGTGAGCAACAATATATTTTTCATTTCCAAGTTATAAAAGTTTTGCGGAATGTTGGTATATGCTTAAAAATATTAGATTAGAAATTCTTGAAGAAATATTTAATAAAAAACAGCATATCTGAAACATACTTGTATAAAGTTTTGCATTGAAAAAAATGAATACATTTTCGGAATAACTTAACAATTCAATCAGGGCTCTACTTGTTTTTTAACTTTGCTAAACTTTTTGCAATCTGTTTGATAATACTTAGTATAAGGAAACTGCAGACCTACGCTTTTTAAAGTGGGTGGGTGGACACCACTACCTTAACCCTAACATATAGTAAATAAATAAACAAAAAAAAAATGTAATAAAATAAAAATTGTAAATAAATTATGATTGGTCTTAGCAATATGTAAGAAATATGCGAATGTTTAATTACAATAGCTAACATAAATTAAAGGAATAAAATACTTTTCAGCTCATTGAATTAGTCCGGTCTACACTCATCCTTTAGATATTAGTAGAAGTATATATATACTGATGTACAACGCATTGTTTCTTTATTTCTTATGCACTATTATTTATTGCTGCCTTTCGAGCAGCTCTCTCTTTCTCTCTTTATGCTTAATCAATCGTGGGTCACAAATAAACTCTCCTCTGTATAGATATCCTCAGATACAAATAATGATTAAACAGATTTTGAAAAAGAAAGTGAATTTGTACTAGTTGGAGGAATTATATTAGGAGTAACAACTAGTTATGCCTCGAAAATAATTGATTTATAACTAACTCATCAAAAAACAAAAATGAAATAAAAACATTGTTTTGAAAATTTATTAGCAGTCTAATCAAAAGTTGAATGAAATTTCAAGTTTTTCTCATAATTTGTGTTTTATTAATTGGAGGAATTATAAAAGGACTCTTCAACCAGTTATGCCTTGAAATAATTTAAAATGTATCAAAGATATTACATAAATAAAATGAAATACAAACGTTGAATAGACAATTTATTAGCCGTCTAATCAAAAGTTGAGTGAAAATGCATTTGATTTTATAATTTGTATTTTTTTATTTGGAGGAATTATAAAAGGACACTGCAACCACTTATGCATCGAAAATATTTGAAATATAAAAATATTATCCAATAAAAATGAAATAAAAGTATTTAAATTTGGATGAGCAATTTATTAGCAGTCTAATCAAAAGTTGAGTGAAAATGCATTTGTTGTTTTCCTATTTGTCTGTGTATGCGGCTTGAATTCCGAAAAAGTCTTTATAAACTCTCGTTGACATGCCATGCATAGAAGTACATTTTACCAAATTATTGTTTGTATTTTGGAACATGTTTTCTGTCCCTGTGGAAACGCCCGTTTGGCCCACACTCATTTCATAAATATTCATTGACAGTGCCCGTCAGTGCCTGACAAATATAGCCGAAAACAAATTCAAAACAAAGAGGTACATGGGCCATCTGGAATTATTTCATTGCATGGACAGAGTATCTAAAACAGTCTGCAGTTGCAATGAGACGCAACAACACCCAACACCCAGCACCCTGTCAACCCAACACCCTGTCAACCCAACCACTGCATCCCATACGTTGTATCATTGCCTTTGTTATACATTTTCTGCTACATTTTTTACCATGTACGAGTACTAGTATTCTCTTTGGTTACTATTGAAATGGAAAATGTTTGTGCAGGCAAATATGAGTGCAACAACAAAATAGCTAAAGCCGATGATGCTGCTGCTATTGTTGTTGTTGTTGCTTTTGTTGTTGTTACCGCGTCTGATCCTAAAGAGCGTCGAACGAAGCGACCAACATTTTGTGGCGCTGAAAATCGGGCATTAGCGTTTGTTTGATTTAGGTCAGTGCGACGACTACTATGACTAGGAGGATGGAGTTCTAGACCACAACTTCAGCTCTAGTGTTACTATTGTTGTTGTTGTTGTTACTGTTGCCATGTCCCTGAGGCAGGACAGACTGAGTACAACTGGTCGGACTAGGGTACTAGTATGTATGGCAGAGCAACTGCAGTGCAGTCCTAACGAACGTTGCGTTTCATTTAAATTTAGATGAACAGGGTTGCATTGTGCTTTGAGGCAGAGTTGCAGGCTACCTGGCGGGCGTCTACTTGTATATAGTGTGTACGAGAATATATACATGTATGTATCTAACATACACATATACTATACATTGGTCTAGGTGTCTGGTCCATTTATTGTGTGCGACTGGGCTTGCGTGCTTTTAATCTGTGTCAAAATATGTGTGTGTGTGTGCATGTGTGTGTGTGCGTGTTCTGTGTATGCATTTTAACGCTTCGAGAAATGTTTTCCGACATGCGCATATAAAATATCTAGTGCTGCTGCTTATATTTTTGTTATTTGCCGGCACATTTATTTGTGGCAACATTTTAGTTTGTTTGGTTTTTTGTACAAGTATATCCGTTGAATATTTGTTTTATTTGAAATATTTGAGCAATTGTTGGGCATCTGTGATTTGTGTGCTATTTTGTTTGTTTGTGAGTCTCGGGATTAGTTTTGGCAGCGGCAAAATTTGAATTGTTTCATAATAAATCGAAGTGCGGTTGTTGGGAGATCATGGGATTTGAAGAGATTTACTGCGAATGCTATATTACGTTTTATTGAAAAGTGTTAAAATCCTTCAAACTGCATTTACTATTTAAAAATTTAAGATTGAATATAATCCCCAATACATTCTATAAAGCAGCATTTATTTTCGAAAATAAATTAATAATATAGTACTTAGCTTTTTATCGTTAACAATATCTTACATACTTTTAAGTACATACTTATTCATGAAGTTAATATTAAAATGATAAAGACCGAGATGTTGAAGGCAGCTCTGTGCTCAAAATGTACAGAAGGTATCTAATTCAGAAATACGATTATAGGTATTACAAGATATTGATTAAAATTGTTGAGAAAAGAAGAAATATAACTGCAATAATTAAAACTTACAACTAGGCGTAAAAACAGCGTACCAGTTATAAAGAAGGTGAACAGAATGCTAAGAAATGCTTCTAGAACTAAGAATATTTTGTTTAATCGTTAGAATATTTGCTATCTACAAATACTAATTAAGATCATGGAATACCATCAACTAAGAACATTGCAAAATAAATTGAAAAGTACAAATTTTTTTAAAATGTTCTATTATAAAAGAGAAAGAAAGAAATAGAATGTTTTGTTTAATCGTTAGAATATTTGCTATCTGTAAATACTAATTAAGATCATAGAATACCATCAACTAAGAATATTGAAAAATAAATTGAAAAGTTAAAATGTTATTAAAAACTGTCAGCCCAGCAAAGGTTTAAAACAAATATATAATGCTTTTATCTTTTTTTGGATATGCAGAAAGAATTTTAAGCTATGCCGACTGTTCTTATGAACTTGCCTTTTTAAAAATAAACTAGATTAATTTCATATATTCGTATTTTTTTTTACAGTAACCAATTTACTGCAACCTTTACATTGTCATAAAATGTATATACAGACGTATAAAAAACCGGCAGTCTATTGTATTTCCATGTAATCTGTGCAGCTCTGTATTCCACAGAGCTTTCAATTGTTTGTAATTTATGGCTAAAAAAGTTAATGAATTGAAAAACTGTCAGCACAGCACGAAATGCATTTTATTTTTTGCCAACATTTGTGTTGTCTGCTGTCGAAGTGTTTGGTGAGTGTATGGCTATGTGGTCGCTATTCGAATGTCCAGTACTGTTGTCATGCGGTCGCACATGTGATTGGCAGTTGTTGCATTGATAAGTGCCACAGGCCATAAAATATGCGCACGACTATAAATAATTGTAAAAGCAAGGTGTGTTCCTTGAACAATTGCATGCGAAACGAAACGGCAAAAACATGCCCACAAAATATAGTACGTGCAAGGAAATGGTTAATGACTATGAAAATAGAAAATGGAAAAGTTTAGCAACTGGTTTTGAATTTGACTGAAAGTTGACGAAACTAAAACAGCAACCACTCTGCTAAAAACGCATGACAAATCAATTACCCGAAACATACCAAGACATACTGCCTCGTGGCTAAAAAAAAGTCGCCTTTAAATGCACGCTATAAATTGGCTAAGCTTCAGTGTAGTTTCGCCAGCCACACAGCTTGATTGATTAGCTTATTCGACATGCAGATCCTTACAGTTGCCGCCTTCTTCCTTTTGCTGGCTGTCGCTTCCAGCCGAGCTCAGGAGCCAGCTCATGACCTGGAAAGCATCGCCACCACTATGCAGAATGCCACAGTGCGCCAAGAGGTCAAGAACAGTTGGCCGCAATTCACTACAGTTCCGCTTGTCATATACAACAAGAATGGATCCTTTACCAGGGCCAATATAAGCCCTGATAATGTAGATATGACCAATGACACGTCATCGACAACGACGGCCTACACAACGACCGAGACGTCCACCTCCACCACAATGGGTGGCAACAGGGACACTGAACTGTCCGCTAGTCCGACAGTCACAGCTTGTAATCCTCTACCCAGTGGCTCCTTTATGCTCAACACAACCGGCAGCAAAGTGAATAGCACCTCCCTGGTTATCACCACTGTTCAGGCCAATTCGGATTTCCGTTGCGTCTGCACCAAAATAAATGCCAAGAGTAACGCCAGTGGCTTGGAGCTCACATATCCAGTCATATTGATGGCCCTGCTGGCCATTTATAAAGCTTAAGCTCTATGCTTATAATTAAACTTTCATGTGTGTATGTATCTACTGCAAATGTAATAAATGTATTGCTTTGATTATACTACTAAATACTTTTATCAGATTTTTGTGAGTACCTTTGAGAGATTTTAAGCTATTGGGGAAACAGTGCTGGGAAAGATGCTAGGAAAGAACATTTATGAACTAAAAACCCACTTAGAAACTACTAAAACAACTTATAAAATATACCCAGAGACGTATTTAGGTCCCAGAAATATAAGAAAAATAAAAAGATATTACAGATAATTATAAAACAGTAAAGAAAAGAAATAATATACATTATTAATAATGTACATATAGCCGTTTCGATGAAAAATATTTGACATTCATTATAAATAATTGAATAAATCGATCAAGAGTGTCTGAACGGTAAAGTGGCATGATGACATGGCGATTGTTTATTTAACGGAGGAAGAAACACAGAGCAGGATTTATATTAACAATCGAAAAACTTTATTGCCTCACTCGCAAGTGAGTTGAGAAAAACTAAATACACCTACAAGTAATTCTGTTTTTACACAGTCTTTTTTGCACGATTTTGCTTTAGCACGGTTTGAAAATTGAACCTTTAAATGTAATTCGTTTTATCAAATGCTTGAATAAAAAATATCCCTAATTCTTATATATATCCTTTCCTTGATCTGAATTATTAATGGCCAATTCTTCTTAAATATATACTCTTTCCTTGATCTGCATTTCTAATAAGATGTGATCTTTATAAAAATTTATTGTGCTAATATAAGTTCAGCAACACAACGATAAAACATAACTATACTTTATTTTAAAAATTGGTATTAAATCAAGTAATTTGTATTTTACATTTCTCTGAAATGGCTTCCACAATTTCTCAAATTCTTTTATTTTTCCAATCACTTAAAATGTATGCCCTTAATTTTGAGCTGTTTTCCATTTGCTATGGCTCTGCAACTTTTATCAATATTATTCGTGTGATAAATTCAAAAATATTTATAAATTATTTGCATATGCGAAAGTACATTATTTTTTGGTTATTAACAAAAAATTGCCAAACGAAATTGGATTAAAGTGCCGAAAAATGAATAACCTTAAAAAAGGGGCTGCAACGAAAACAAAAGCTTACAAAAATAATACAATTTTAAGCCAGCAGCTGCGACAAAGCACAAACACATAAGCAAACATATAATACGAGTGGTATATACACAATTTATACAATAAAATATGTCACAAACTGCTCATAAATTCATTTAGCGCATGAAATTGGCGCCAGCCGCTGCCCAGTGAATCGCATGTGAATTATTTAGCTTTTAAAAATGCATTTAAAATTTATTTGCGCACGAAAATAATTTCCAACAAAAAACCACCACAAAAAATCACAGAGAGTAAACAGCAGAGAGAGAGAGAGAAAGTGTGGGAGGGGGGAGAGAAAGTGGTAGAGAGAAAGTCTGCAATTTATTTCACACACGTGTGCCATTTTCTATTTACACATGCAATGCACGTGACGTCACTGATAAGCGATAGAAATTTGCCAAACGAGTGTCAAATATCAAGTTAGCCTGCAATGATTGTTGAGCGCAAAGCCATAAAAAACTGCCAAACGGCACATTTGACAGCTGTTGCGCCCCCACACATACACACATACACACACAGACACACACACACACACACACACACACAGACACACACACACACACACACACACACATACATGCATACTTGTATATCCTGTATGCAAAACAGAGGAAAACTGCACAGCTAAGTCGCGCAGCTGTTGGGCGAATACGTCTTCCCATAGCATATGCCCGACTTAGTCTGCCAGCTGTTACGTATACGTCATGTATGCTCACAAAAATGTCTGTCTGGCTGATAGCTCACTTTTTGGCTATTTCGCACTTTTCTGACACAGCGATTTTCGGCGCTCTTTTTACAATTTGACTTGCCGCTTGTTGACACAGCTGACGGCAACAAGAAACAAACGCAACATGGCTGCCAAAAAAGTTTGAACAACTTTTCGCCAGAGTGCAACGCAAAACTAAAACAAAAGATGCGAGTCGAGCGACCTGAAAAAGTACGTCGACTTGAGAGTTGGCAATGGATAAATGCGCTATTTGTTTTTTCTTTGATTTAAATATAGTCAATTCGAATTATTTGGTTTAATATAAAATATGTATAATTGTCGTATCAAAAGTTCCGAATCTAATGACGGTATTTTATGGCCAATACATTTAACAGTATATTTTTATACCCTGTACCCGTAGGGTAAAAAGGGTATATTAGGTTTGTGCAAAGTATGTAACATACAGAAGGAAGCATCTCCGACCCCATAAAGTATATATATTCTTGATCAGCATGACGAGAGAAATCGATCTAGACATGTCCGTTCGTCTGTCCGTCCGTCTGTCCGTCCGTCTGTCCGTCCGTCTGTCCGTCCGTCTGTCCGTCCGTCTGTCCGTCTGTCCGTCCGTCCGTCTGTCCGTCTGGATGAACGCGAGGATCTCTGAAACTATAAAAGCTAGAATAACCAAAGTTGGCATCCAGATTCTCCTAGGTCCGAGTAAGGACGAGTTTATTTTATTTTTTGGAATTTTCCCCCCCTTCCCCCGCTACAGAATTTCGTCAATAGCGTCCACATTTCAAATTCTAACTAAACCAAACTTTGCACACATATTTAATATATAATTGTCTACTGTTGTATAAATTTTATTCAATTCGGTCAATTCTGAGAAAAAATATTAGCGAAACAAATTCTCTACAGTACAACCCCCTCAAACTGCAGCAACAAGTTCGCTCTTCTTCTTCCTCTTTTTGCTGCTGCTTTGGGCGCATATAACTCAGTGACGGAAGTTTACCTGGGTACAGGGTATTACACTGTCGGGCTTGCTCGACTGTAGCGTTCTCTCTTGTTAATTAACAAAAAAACATTTATATATAGCTTAGAAAAGAGGATTTTAAAGGTATTTGAAGACATTTCCATTTACGTTTGAATAAGTAATGTAGAAAAGTTCTTTAATAATGATGTTCTATAGGTAGGTGGGCCTATGCTTCTGACAACGTATTATATTGTAGTTAGAGCTTTAATTTTAAATCGTTTATCAGTTAAAGAAAATACTCTTTAAATTTTCTACTAGTGTTTGTTTATGGTTATATCTATAGCACCATCCCAGAAAGAATGGTTGACTGATATAGAAGTATTTGATTTGCAAAGTTGGCAAAGAATGAAGAAAATGTTTGAAAGTTTGTCGAAATGATCATCATGGGCTAGTCTACGTATTACCGTGGACAGTTTTATGCGATGATATTGAAGGTCCTGCAACATATCTGTAACGTTGAAGTTACCTCTAATCTGGTTTTCGTGCTTTTTCGGCGTATTCATTATCTTGGATACAGCAATGATGACGTAACCAAAGTAAACATCCAGATTTAGTTAATTTGATTAGCAAAGTCTTATTTAATATTTGAAATATCTTTTTCATAACTTTAAAATTTGTTTACGGAAAATCTCTATCTTCAAATCGCTAATAACGAGTTGTATTTTAAATTGTTTTCAAAGTCGTTTTGTTCCAAATCTCTAGATAAAGATTGTACCATAAAATATAAATCTACTTTTTGCTACTCTCTAACAAGCAGATATGGTAGCATATTCGATTCCTTTTGGAATGCTTACTATCCCACATTAATTCATGTTGAGGAACGGGGTTTTCTATGGCTTTATGTGCGAAATAAAGCACTCCGTGTGCTTAGCTCCATGTAGACTCAAATTTATTTATTAATTCTTTGTTATTATTAGTTTAAAATTACAATGTTGCAAGTATTAGAAAAAACATTTAAATTAAACCCATAACTCCGTTGTGCCGTTGGAAAGGCCTTACATTATAGTTTTAAGTTACATGCTTGATATGCTGTATGAGCCCCATGGGAAGCCTCTAAAGGGTATTTTGGTTGTAGTTGTTGTAGTAGTTGTAGTTGTTGTTGTTGGTGTTGTTGTTGGAGTTGTTGTAGGAGTTGTTGTTGGTGTTGTCGTTTCAGATGTTGTCGTTTCAGATGTGGTCGACTTAGATGTTGTCATTTCAAATATTGTCGTTACAGGTATTGTTGTTGTACTTGTAGTTGTCGTTATAGCAGGTACAGTGCCATTAACTGGCATCCTATTGATTTCTTTATCGCCCCTTACTTCCACTGTGGCTGTCTTATTCGTTGTCTGCGGAATTTCTGTTCCACCTTTCACATCATTGAGCTCCGTTAATTCATTTCCAAGCATAAAACTATCGCCAGTACTTAGGCTCAGATCTTCAGTCATTATTGCATCTGTGGACTGATCCACATCTACGTAGTCAATGGTCACAACTTCAATTTTTTCCAATACACTGTTTGCTGGTCGAGGATCCTTGTCTATTTCGGCTTCTATCAGAGCCGCTAAAGAGCTTAAAGCTAACGCAGTTACGAGAAGCAACTGCGATTTCATTTTGATTGTTGTGGCTCCAGAAATGTGTGGAGTGTACTGTTGCCAGTGGCCTCAGCACAGTTAGTTTATATAAAGAAAACCATCGGGTAACACATGCCCAAGGCTACTAACCACATTTGTAAAATTTAGTCAGCTTTTGGACTGCTTAGGGTTTTTTGATTGCCGCGAACGTCTAATTGAAATATGTTTCCTGTAAGTAGCTTAAAACTCATTTGCGTTTGCTTGCAATTCAGCATACATTAGTCATCTCCAATATAAACGAAAATATGTTTGTCTGTCCTACCATGAGCCCGGACTTTGTCACTTTTCCGCCTCGAGTGAATCTATGAAACAATGTTTGTATGCCCGCCCACGAAGATTACCTAAAATAGGGCTGCGTGTTGTAGGAAATTTGCCAAAAATTCACTGAAAATTATGCGGAATTTATTTGTGGGCGAAGCATGACAATATAACAATACCAACATTATTATGAAATTAAAATAAAGGTTGAAATTCTTGTTAAAATTTTGATGAAGTGCTTAAGTCCCTTTTCAGAGAATTTTAGCTCAACACTGTTCTTAAACGACATCCATTTAAAACAAAACAATATTTGTCTAAAATTTAAATGTTATACTATATGTAAATTATATATTCCAACAATTCTGCAAGCTTACTCGTAAATTAGTTTCATCAAATATTTGATATAATTGAAAAGCAGAGTTTTTTTAAGGAGACAACTTTTGATAGCACATTTGACGTTTTATAGTTCACTTGTAACATTTTCCAATCAATTCTTAAGGGAACCCTATACTACAAATAACTTTAACATTTTAAATTCGATTAAAAGTGTGTCATGATTTCTATCAAATTTATATTAAA